TAAATGGATATATCCGAATTCGTTTTTCACTATTTTTCTCTATCCGATTCCAGACCCGTATTCGACAATATCCTACAGTATCCGTATCCGCAAAGGAAACAAAGTATCATGAACCTATTTACAAGTTTTCTCTTCATAACAGTAACCAGTTGTTTAATTTTATTGTTACTAATGATGCATTGGAACCATTTAATAGTGCATCTATAAATACCTTTTAGTATTAATTTAAAATTATAAAGGATACGTAAAGATTAAATTAATTTTAGTATTTTTCTAATTTAGTTTAAACCTAATATATTTGTTGTTTTAAATTATTTTAATACTTTAGTTTATTTATTTGTTGATATAAATTACTTTATATAATTAATATTTTATGATAGTTATTTATATATTTATATAAATATAATATTAATCAATTAATTAATTTATATTTTAATTATTAAATATTTATTAATAACTATATTATTTTTATGAGCTATCCTTGTCTATGTTATATACACAATAATTTGACCTCTACTTGTGTAGTAATTTTGTAATTCCAAAAATATTGATAAAGCAAAATGGCTATTTGTTTTCTACAATTTTTATTTAAATTTCCTCACTTGACCTATTATTTTATTAAATCTTATCCATTATAATTTAGTTTACTTCGATATTGGAGATTATTAGAAGTGTACTTTCATTTAGTTAACTTCATTTAATGATGAACTAGTAGTAAAATTTTATTCATATATGTTGCATTTAACAATATAGACTTCGAGTTGAATCGAGTAAAATATCCGTTTTGTATCCGAATCTGAGACATCCGTTTTGTATTCGTATTCGAAAATATCCATATCCGTATTCGTATCCGAATTAAAATGTGGTAAAAGATGATATCCGGATCCGATTCCATGCGAATCCGATCCGTTTCCATCCTGAGGTAGATGATGGGAAGAAAAGACATGTGATTTGATAAAAAAATATTCTGTAGAATCTATGTATATTGTAACATAGTTTTTATATGTATACATAAATTAATAGGCACAGAAACTACCTATAGTTTATAACATTTGAATTACCCTAATCGTCATTCGTAAGGGGAGGGAGATTTGAGATTATATATGCAGTATAGCTACCAGTTGTGCACGCTTTGAAAGCACTAATTAATGAAAATGGTGGGGGCATGAGCATGATGCATGTCAACGCACGACAATAAAGAAGCCTGCACACATTTTGCACAGGTCATTTTCCTTCTTGCACCCCATCTTTCTCAAACTATGTGATATCTCGGGGTTGCATGCATATACACGTATGTATCTCCCCATGCATATGTCATGATAATACATACATGCATGGTCCCCCACACCCAGCTCGTAGTCCCACCATATGCATGCACACGGTATCTGCTCAGCATGCACATATACTGCAACGGATGAAAATCCATGCAGACGCTAACTCACACACATATCCATGACACGTGTGTTTCGGTACGATAAAAATTAAAATGAGAAAATTCAAGAAATCTACAAACTGTTTCGATATATATATATATATATATATGTTGCACAAAACTACAAATTTTGGATCATGTTTCAGAAAAGCTGCTACTAGTATTATTTTGTGATAGTAACTGTCTAACTGACAAATCACTTGGAACCACGATGAACTGAGCCATCAGTCTATATAAATATCAAATCCGAACATAATTCAAGCTAGAGCCACGAGTCTATACATGAGTGATGTATGTTTAAGAACTAAGCTAACATAGAAATATACATAACATGAGATCATTACCACGTAAAAAATACAATTATTACCACGTAAAAATAACGCAATGGTCTCTGTCACGATTTGGTTTTCACAAATCATATGGTGAGTCAGTGGTGAAAGCAATTTCAACCCCAATGATTGGATAGCATAGTGGACAACATATATAGTTGGGTGGAAAACTGGTGGTGCAAATCGTTTTCGCTGCAAGCTCGTCATATGTCTGGTGGTGATAACCACCGTAATTTTCATCGATAGGTCATCCGCCGGCTAGCTGTGAAAGCAATTTTCACCGCTGATTTTTCGTATGCATGTGCCCAACAGATGAAGTCCAACAGATGAAGTGAATGTTGCACTATAGACAAGCTTTGGAGTCCTATTGAAAACTTCAAACTCTTCCTTTTCAAACACCTTTGTGTTTGCTTTTGATCCCATTGATTCTTAGCCTTGATCGTAGCTACCTAATGCTAGTTTCACAAGTTTGCATCACACCCACTCACTAGACTTAATCTAGCTTAGCTTGGTCAAGCTATCCATTCATATCCCTCTTTATAGTATGGCCAAACGATAAAACAAAGAACCTATTACTACTCTAAGCATCTCCCAACGCCATATGATACTTAGAACTAGTCCGTCGTTAGCCTTCGTGCCCATCATTTGAAAATCCAAACAAAGACCAATCAATAGGGGAATGAAAACCATAATTTTTCAAATCATTCGTCGTCATTGTGACGAGTAATGCCGCTCCAAAACCAATGTTAGTCACAAAGATTCTGTCGTCATTAATCGCCAAGATCGAATTATATGCCTAGATGCTTTCAATCTGCACCTTTTGGTGATTGATGACAACATAACATTGACTATGTGCACAAGAGACTTGAGGTTTTCATCACTTGGTTTGCATGAACACATGACAATAAGAGTAAAGGCGTTAGGTGAGTTCATGCAATCCAAGTCCACAACACATACACAGAATATATGAAATGAGTATGTGTACTAAACAAAATAGTCGTTTGAAATAGCTAGTATATAAACAAAAGGCACAACAAACGAGTAACAATCGTTACATGATATAAGATAAATACAAGCACACACATGTCACAAAGTCATAATGTACAAGCTAGCAAGCATTTACCACTACAAACCGCTGGGGTTTGTGTGTGGCCAGGGTATCCACCTCATTGGAAAAAATTACCACGTCTGATCCTAGTTTCACGATCTTTTTTTGTCCTACCATCCAACTTCTATGAATGCCCACGTGTCAAACTCTCAATGGCTAGAGACAAAATATCTTCATGAACCATTGCCTTCATCTAATTCGCTAGTGACATCGTCTCCACCACTTCGCTCTCTATAGTGCCGTCGCTCCTCCCCTCACCAAGCAGCCTATGTGCCCCTTCTTCACTCCGTTCTCTTCGAGCTCTGCCTCTCCACCCCGTGGCACCTCTGTGCCCCTCTCAGGTGTCGCTGCTCACCGCTCCTCCCATCCTCACACGGCCATGCCCATCTGTCGCTCATACAATGCAGAAAGTAAACATGACACATGAAACGCATGAGAGTAGAACACAAAAGATTAGAACCCATCTCACTATCTCTCCTCTATCTCACATACTCTCCCTCTTTGGCATCAAGCACCAACACCTAAGGGCCACTTGGAGAGGTCGATGCAGTCAAGCTAGGTTGTGTATTGCGCTGAGCTATCTAAAACAGTACAGAAACATGCTCATCGCCTCTCTCTGCAGTCACCTCAGTGGCATGGGTCACAGTGTAACTGGTGGCTCACTAACTAAAGTCAGGCCCGCTAGAACTGAGGGACTCTAATATAAATATGGTGTAGCTGGAGGAGGCTGACTCTCCATAGTAGTTGTCTCTAGAGCTCCGGAAGCACATATTGACAGGAGCCGTAGTTGTCGTTGATGGTGTTGGTTCTCTTGTGATCTCACTAAATTAAAGGTGACAGAGAGACAACGAGATGCGGTAGTTACCGATGTCGAGACCATCACTGACTTTGTCTATCCTATAGAAGTAGCTGGAGTAGACTGTGGCAAGCCAGCAAGCCCCTATGCCAAACCCGAACCAAACATTCTATATGGGGTCGAAGTATGTAAAAGTGTGGTGTGCTGAAATTGTGGCAAGAAAGAAAATAGCTATCCCAAAAAGTTTGGCAGACTGGCAAAGTGTGGCATGCAAGAACCAAATAGGCACTTCAAATTTCTTTGAACTTACAAGAGGGCCAAAAAACTTGACAATTTGTGAGAGACTTAATTGGGCAGAGGCTTCATGGATGAATGGAGATCTATAAGAGAAAACTAAAAGCTATATCTTGATTTGGCCTTGACAAAAATTGAACAACCATGTGATAGGAGTGAAAAAATAGGAGTGGGAGATGATGGTAGCTTTTAAGCCAAGAAATTTTTCGATGGTAGGTATATGGAGTTTGTTCTACTAGATATGGTAGGGGCACATAGAGATAGGACAATTGTAACCTAATAAATAAACAAAAATTGTAAAAAAGTATTTTTAAGTAAAAAATGGAAGTCAAACTTACAATAGAAAAGGCTAGTTATTATCTACACTATTTGCAGGGGCCATCTTTCTACTTGTTTGAATTAGTGTGTACTACCTCCATCCCAAAAGGAATGCAGTTCTATGTTCATCATAAGTCAAACAATTTTATGTTTGATCAAATTTCTAAAAAAGAACTAGTACTTATGATCTCAAATAAGTACCATTAGATTCACCGTTGAATAAACTTTTTCATAGTATATATATTTGGTGTCATCAAAGTTGTCACTCTTTTGTGTAAACTTATATAAAATTTAAGACACTTTGACTTAAGAGAAAATAAAATCCCATTCTTTTAGGAGGGAGCGAGGTAATACCACATAGAGTTTATATCCGAGACACAAGATGCTTCAAAGTTCAATGTATAATCTCAATTATCTCAACGAGAACCCTATATGCTTTTTTGGCGAAGATCATTATGAGAGAACACATGCCTCTCAGCGAAACAATTAAATCGTAAAAAAGCAACAAGATAAACTTGATGGTCCATTCACCAAAAGTTGTGCAGATCGAATTAGCTAGCCCGCATTACCCTAAATGAAAATAAAACAAAGATCAATAAACTAAGAGCAGTAGTGCACAATAGGACACGCTTGCCACACCAGTTTTGGTTGCTCTTCAAGAGTGCATGCATGCAGTTTATTTGGGTGGCTTTTCATTCGTCTCTCAATGCAACTTCGAGTAGCCTAGAAGTTGTGGCTCCACGTCTCATTGACCGGCGGCAGCCGGCCGCCGAGGTACTGCTTTGCTGTCAGGTCGGTGGCGCAGCTGGCGGTGCGACTGGCCGCAGCTGCTGTGGCGCACAGTGGAAGCTGCAGCTCCTCCACCTGATGACCGCCACCATCGACGCCGAGGAAGTCCCTAGTGAGGCGCCGGTGGCCGACGGTGGCCACTGAGCCGTCCAGAGTGAGACCAAAGTTGACCGCCGGCGTGTCGGTGAGGATGCCGCTACCACCGGTGATGGTGGTGGTGGTGATGCTGGCGTCTACATGCATATGGAGGTCAAGATAGGGCGAGGGTTGTTGCATCATCATCCTCGGCTGCAGGAAGGGAGACAGCTCTTGGTGCAGGAAGAAGAGGGTATTGTTAGGGTTTTGTGCGGGCGCAACGACAGGAGGAGAGTTGGAGAACGGGAGGAATAATGGTGTGATATTGTTGGTGCTGAGAAGATCATTGTTGCTGCTGCTGGTTGTGGTGGTGATAGTGCTGCTGTTGTTTGCTGCTGCAAGAAGCCTTGCGCTCTCCTCTGCTAGGGCATCACAAAAGGCCCTGTGCGTGAGCAGGCTGTCCTTCCTGTGCACCACCAGACCATGCATCAAACGAAACGGGTTTAGTTATCAAAAAAAAAAAAAAACGAAACGGGTTAGTTAAACAAATGATCAGAGGAAGAGTCAATGATTATATATATTAATTAGTTGGTGTACTAGGTTAATGTACTATAATTGAAAATGTATATATAATGCTGATGTGCACATGCGTGAGTACTCACTGCATGCAATCCATGCATGTAAAGTTTCATTTAACTTTGCTGACGAAAAGCTGCGTCCTATGATTAGCAGGTTCTTTTGTCAGTTTCCTTTGTGATCACTACTGAAAAGAAGCATGCAGATGCATGTGTGTGCGCGTGTGTAGGATGTAATTACATTCAGTGGTAATACTAGTAATGCATTCCTGTTCTGCAGTAAATTATATTATATGGTGTTTTGGTTTTTCTAGTTTTTGTTCTTGATTTAAGTATATACTGTGTCTAGTCTAGATATATAAATAGCGAAAGTAATGTAAATGTCTTATAATTTGAAATGGATAGAGTATATCTTTTGTGACCTACTACTATTCATCTCGACCTTGAAGAGGACCATGCTGTTATCTAGTGTGGAGGGACCCCTGTGTGCTGCTTGAAACTGCCTCTTAACTTCACTACTATATAATGTAGAAACTGTGAAATATAATAAATGGAAATGTGAAAACGATCTTACATACTGCATTATTGCACTGCGGCCCCGTTCGGCTTACCCCATATTCGGCTTGTTCGGCTTCTTTTTTCAACCGGAACAGTGTTTTTCTCTCACAACAATTCAGCAAGAACAGTGTTTTTCAGCCAGTTTTAGTCAAAATTCTACCAGCCGAACGGGGCCTACTTGCAGTAGTACTAGTTCATCGTAAAGTACCTCCTCAATTATTGCTTCATGTATATACTGTAGCTAGGTTCCATTTTGAAGGAAATGTCATGATGGCCACATGGACTGCCATAAAGTAAGTGCAGGCTGGATGTTTCCAAATATGCATGTAAACATATATTGCGTGTATAGTGCTAGTTTCACCAGGGATATTCATGGTTTTCCACAGGAAATTCAAAGTACCAATGCAAGTTCTCTGGGGTTCCTATATATATTTCTGTTTCTTTCTATAAGGAAAAACTGATGAAATAGTACGGGTTGTGATCATGCAAATAATACTATGACAAGATGCATGGAAACCCTAAAATTCTAAATGAAGTTCGTTCACATGCGGTTATATGTGCATTTTTGTTGGCATTATTATTACAAACAGAAGAGTTAAGTTTAAGGACCGTGCCCACAAGCAGATAGTGCTGACTTCATGATATTTTATCTATATATATTTGGATTGTTTTAGAATCACCCCTAAAATTAAAGAAAAACCTTGTTCTTGAAAAGCTATGTATATATAGGAGGAGTATGCACTAATTAACTAGCTCCACGCATGGTGAAGTCAAAGCAATTAATTGGTGAGTGAAGGAAGATAGGTCATAGCTAGATGCGCTTATATGCTCGATCCTTTTTGTGATCTTCTCCTAGACTAAACAGGCTCTCGATGGAACAGTCGTCGCCGGTCTCCGTGTTGCTGCAACTCGGCTCGCGATGCGTGTTCGAGGCAGCGGTGGCAAACCTGGCTCAATCGTAGGTTTTCTCCGTCCAGTGAGAGACAACAAACAGATTAGGCTATTATATTCAGCATGGTTGTTAGTAAATGATCACCGTTTATGATTACAGCAAGCACATCTCCATGCCTGCAGTGATCTTCCAACTCCAACAAGAAGAGCAAGAAACTAAAGGTAGTAAGTAGGTACCTGGAGAAGAGGATGCCGCAGTCGCAGCGATACTCGCGCGTGCCGCACCCCTTGACGTGCGCCTTCCAGTCCGACTGCACGGCGTAGCGCTTCCCGCAGCGCTCGCAGCGCCACCGCTTCTCCCCGTGCTTCCGAGAGAAGTGCTTCTTGATCCCAGTCAAATCCCCCAGAGCTCTGATCGATCGATGCACAACAATCAGTCGTCAGTTCGGTTCCATTCCATGCAGTACTAGTAGGATTGTTCATCAAGATGCGTGTATGCATATATGCATCGATCCCTACCTCGCCGGGTCGTGGTGGACGCACGTTGGCTCGGGGCAGACGTACACGCGCTTGCGCGGCGCCGCCGGCGCGGCCGCCTCACCACCCTGCCTGCCGCCGGAACCGGAGCCTGACGGGAGGCTGCTGCGCTGGCGGAGCTTCCAGGGGAGGTTGTGGCCCCGGCGGTGCAGCTGCAGGTTCTGGTCCCGCTGGAACCCCTTGTTGCAGATCTCGCACACGAACCGGTTCGTCGCCACCAGCGTGCGCGGCGACAGCGCGATCACCTCAGCGCCGGGGTCTTCAATTAATTAATTAGTCAGCAACCAAGCATGCCATGCCAGGATCGATCATCACAAAAGAATGAAAGATTATGCATGCATCGCATGGTCAATTGCTAAGTGCTAGCTACTACGTACCTGGGTTTCCGGGCTGGCTTCTCTTCCTCTTGGTCCCCGCCGCCTTGTTGGGCTCCTCCGGCTGCTGTGGAGGTGCCGGCGGCAGCACGGTGGTGCCCGAGGCCGCCCGTGCGAGGAAGAGAGGGCTGAGGGCCCGGGCGTAGCTGGCCATGTCCCCGCCATAGGAGCTGGATCCAGTGGCCTCGTGCTCGTGCTCAGACGAGAGATCAGAGATCATCATCATCATCTGATCGTCTATCGCCACTCACTAGCCTCTGCCTGCTTGTCTGTTTCTTGGTGTTCTCTTGCAGTTGTACACTGGCCGGGCTAAGCTAGCTACTGATCCTCTATCTACTTCTTAGCTTCTATATATACTCTCTACTCCGTAGAGAGACTAGTAGTATATGTCTATGTGGTTCTGTGGTCTCAGCTAGCTCAAGGCTTCTAGTGATGTCCAAGTGTGATTATTGGCGAGAGGAGAGGGAGCGATCAGATTATTGTATTATTGCAGGAGAGGATCGGGAAAGGCGTCAGAGAGGCCTCTGATCTGCAGGCGGTTTGGCATTGCCCTCTGCAGGCGCAGTTTCTGCAGCCAAGCAGCCAGAATAAGAAGGCCTACGTGTAGAGATGCTGCAATCGAGTGCACTCCCTCTGCAGGCTAGGTCCCGTCCGCGTCCAGGGCCAAAAAGCCACGCCCATCCAGCCGTGCCCGGCCTCTTTTTCCCTTTAGTTTCTGCATCTTTTTATCAATGGCAGCTAGCAAGCATGCATGAACATGTGGTGTGTGGTACAACTTGAGCTATACACACTAGTCACACACACACGCATCATCAGTGCATCAGCAAGTTATTAGTAATACAACCATCGTGGACAGTGGCGGAGCTAGGGAACTTTCGCGACAAGGGCCAATATTATGAACCACTAACCCCAGATCACATGCTAATGGACAAAAGTAATGCTAGTATATAAATTTAGGTGAAAAAAACAAAGGGATTACTCTAGTGTTTTTTCTCACGCCTAGAGCCATGGCCCTACTGGCCCTAGCCTTATATCCGCCACTGATCATGGATATCTACTTGGCTTCGCAGGCGATGAGAATGTAGTAAAAAAAAACCCTAATGATATACATGCATACAGACCATTGAGGCATTGGCAAAAGCAATCTAGCACCAACCTTTAGTTTTCTAAGTAACTGATGAGCTCCATATGACCACGGTGTCGACATAGGAGTACTATCTTTGTGTGCAGTGACGGATATAGAACAGGATTGAAGGGGGCTGGTCTCTTCTTCTTTCTCTCTCTCTCCATTTTTCTTCTTTCCTCCACCTCTCCTTCTCCCTCACCCTCCCCATATTTCTATTGATGCACCAGCTGTAGGGGGGCTGGAGCCCTCCCCAGCCCCCCTTTAGATCCGCCCCTGTTTGTGTGGGCAGATAAGCGTAGCTGAGCTCATTCTTGTGTGTGGCTGCTAGGTATATGTTACTACTATCTTTCTCTGACCGCGACTGTGCAAAATTGAGGTACACAACTGAAAAGGAAATTGTCTATGCATGTTTTATACACCTAGACTAGACAGCAGGACTAATTCAATTTCTCTCCTAAAAAAAATCAATTTCTATTTGCATCACAGCCTTTCACCACAAGCTAGTGATCAGATTGGTGTGTCAAAAGGCACTGCTGGTTTTGATTTTCTTCTGTTCATACTAAGCTAAATTAAAGACGAAAGCACATGCAGTAACGACATACTGATGTCATCAGCATGAATTACATGTCTCATTTTGTATTTCGCTTTCACCTATGTGGACTTGAATGTTGGTGCAGAATTTAAGTAGTCAGTATGAATAGATCAATCTTGTTGCTTACATGTTTCTGCAGTGTGTGTTAGTAAGTCATGCGTCGTATGTAGGTTAGTAGCAGCATTTAAATCATCAGCAAAAATACATTAGCCATTATTGTTACTGCTTTCTACTTTTCGCTGCTTCTAATCTCATCTGGATCGGAGCTCCAGTTCCGCCTGCCCTGTAGTCAGAGAAGACCATGTTGGCCCACGGGATCACCGATCGACGATAGTGAACTAGTCTCCAGACCACTAGTCTCAGATCATTAGTCTTCCAGACCAGACCACTAATCTCCTAGACCACTAGTCTCCCAGACCAGACCACTAGTCTCCCAGACCACTATACCGGTTGTGTCCGTACCCACACACTATGAATCGAGCTAAAAGAAGAAGGGAGAACAGAGCAAGCACACACAATACAAGACAACAACGTTGGCCGAGGCCCTGTCTGTGTGATGGCAAATCTGAGCTCTCTTTACTGAGTTGCCTTGGTGCCCTATTTATACAACTCTATCTATCTAACTAAAAATACAGCGCATTTGTCAGTAACAATAACTAGATAAGTATCTGTAGGCTGACTCTGCGCCAAGCCATTTGCATGTGCCTCTGATTACTACCGGTGAGCCATCTGGCGCTTTGCACTGCAGCCTTTGCCGCTGCGCACTGCAGCTGCTCTCAGATTATGTTAGGGGCAAAGTCGGCGCCGCCTTCCTCTTGTATGTTTCACACAAGGTGGCAATAGATTAGCTAACAATCTTCCCTAATCCTCACTAACCCTTGCACCCCTCCATGCCGATCATCTCCTTCACTCCGTGAGTCGAAGTCGTCCGAGCGGTTTGGTGAGGACGTCCGCGAGTTGCCGACCAGTTTTGACAAACTCGATGACGATCGCCTCCATCAACACACAGTCCACGAGGAAGTGGAACTTCACGTCGATGTGTTTACCTCCGGTCGTGCGAACCGGATTCTTCGCGAGGGCGATGGCGGGCTGGTTGTCCACCATCGCGTCTTTGGTGGGTGAGCTTCCACGCCGGTTAGCTTCCGCTCGGCAGCGGCGTAGCCACACAACTTGGCACGCCCGGCGTGGCCGCCGCTCGTGCTCGCCTCGCACGTAGATAGCGCCACCACCTTCTTTTCGAATGACCATGAAATTGGGGCCGACCCGAGGAAGACGAAATCGCCGCAGGTGCTCCGTCGTCCGTCGATGTCCCCGCCATGTGCGCATCGGCTGAACACCGTGAGCTGCAGCCTACTTCCCCGGTCTTTGGGAAGATGATTCCATGATTCACTTTGTCCCCTTGACGTGGCGTAGTAGCCGCTTCACCGCAGCCCGATGATCCTCTCTGGGATCCTCCATGAAGCGGCCGACATAGCCCACGCCAACGCAATGTCCGGCCTTGTGTGGACTAGGTAGCGCAGAGACCGCCGACGATGCTCCGGTAGAGTGTTGCATCTACTTTCACCGCGGTCTTGTCCTTCGTCGATTTCACCGCTCCTCCATCGGAGTCACGCATGGCTTGCACTCCACCATGCCGCTCCTCTCCAACAGCTTGGAGGCATACGCGCTTTGCCCGAGCGTGAGTTTCTCCTTCCTCTCTCACCTCGATGCCGAGGTAGTAGGAGAGCGCCGAGATCGCTCATTCGAAATGAGTGGCATCTCTCGCTTGAAGTCGTTGATATCCTCCGTCGCTAGCGCCGGTGGCGATTAAGTCATCCACATACACGCCGACCATGAGTTCTTCCTTCCCCGTCGTCGCGTGTAGAGCGCGTGCTTCGGTTCTTCACCTCTCTGAAACCCAAGCTCGCCCGGCGTGGTGTCAAGCTTGGCGTTCCATGCTCGAGGGCTTGCCTCACCCGTAGAGCGCTTTTTTGCGATCGGAGCACCACGTGCTCCTCTCCTTGACAAATAACCACGGAGGTTGCCTCGACGAAGACCGTTTCCGCCACCTCGCCATTGAGGAAGGCCGATTTAACGTCCAAGTGATGGACGCGCCATTTTTTTGCCGCTAAAGCAAGTAGCAAATGGACCGACTCCATCTTGCGCTCTTCGGTGCAAAGACCTCCTCGAATCGATGCCCTCGCGCTACCGGACAAAGCCTCGGGCGACGAGGCGCGCCTTATACTTGACAATGGCACCGAAGCTCGTCCCTTTTGACTTTGTATACCCACTTCAGTGATCGGACGGCATCCTAGGGGTGGATCGACGAGTACCGCCAAGTCTCGCTTTCCTCAATCGCCTTCATCTCCTCCAAAGATTGCCCGTCGCCAGCTTTCCATCGCGCGCTTTCGGCTAAGCGCGAACGTGGTGGTTCCTTCGCGACCGACGAGTAGCGGCTTTCTCGTCGTTGAGCGACCTACCCGCCAGACTTGAGGGACTGTGTGCCGATGATGTCGTCCGGACTCACGAAACCTCAACTCCTCACCTTTGTGGTAGGCGTCCACGAACTCGGTGATGTCACTTGGAGGTGAGGTGAACTTGATCGGGGTGATGGAGTTCCTTCTTCCGCGGGAGTGCCTCGCATAGCACCTTGAAGTGCTCGCATCGCTTCTCGATCGCTTTCGTCATAACTCCCTGCAGTGTTCGGCCACACTTTGCAGGAGTGCCCACCTCGATCTTGGAGTGGTCGGAACCACGAAGAAGACGTCTTGGCTCCGCCACGGGAGTGCTCGGCACCCATCCCAAGTGGTCGCCACCACTGCAGAACCTCCAGCTCCACTCTGGCATGCTCGGCATTCCTCCGAAGTGCTCAACACTCCTCCCGAGTGCTCGGCATCCCTCCCCGAAGTGCTCAGCCTTTGCCCTAGAAGTGCTCGACTCTACGCCCGGGAGTGCTCGGCGCTCCTCCCAGTGCGTGGCTTTGTTTGTGCAGCGTCTCCACCGCCGTGGATGACCAAGTGCTTGACGACGAAGGTGTTGGTGAAGCCTCCCGCTTCCCGTGCTCGGTGCGCCGGTCCCAAAGCGCCTCCTCGTTGAACACAACGTCGCGCGAGACACAGTCCACCTTGTCTCCGCGTGGGTCATAGAGCCGATGCGCCTTGGTACCCTCCGCCAGCCGGGAACACCATGGGTGTGCTCCTGTCCTCCGGCTTGGTGAGGTTCGCTTCGTCTTCTGGCGTGGCGATGCAACCGAATGTCCGGAGGAATGACACGTTCGGCTTGCTCCCGTACCAAGCTTCGAACGGTGTCTTGCCCGTTAGGGCTTTGGTTGGAGCGCGGTTGAGGATGAACACCGCCGTGGTCACCGCCTCTCCCCAGAACTTTGCTGGCATCCCTTTGGCCTTCATCATGGATCGGGCCATGCCGACCACTGTCTGGTTCCGTCGCTCCACCACGCCATTCTGTTGTGGCGAGTACGGCGCGGTGTGATGTTGCCCCACACCTTGATCCGCGCAGTACGTAGCAAACTCCA